TGTTGACAGCAAAGACGCAATAAAATACAGACCGGGAAGTTCAGCTCGGGTTATAGTTAGAAAAAGAGAAAAGGTCGAATCTGATTCATCTTTTGAAGGGTTTGCTTCTAAAAACAAGCGAATGCCTTAATGAACATCCGACTTGCAGATGTAGCAGAGGGAGGAAATGAGCCACGAGTTCGTCATTAGATCTCTGTGCGCTCACCCCCAGCATCCAGATTCAATACATCTCAGGAGGAGGCAAAAACTTTCCGCTAACGAGAGGAAAATAAGCTCCCCGGGTTTTAAAATCTCTCGGCATTGATGAGCGCGTGTGTTTGGGCATTAAACGCAGGTGTGTGTGCGTGTGTGTGTGGGATGCCGTATGCAGCTTAATCATTCTTAACACGGCGGATTCACAGCTTTGCCTTTCTTTTCCCCAACAGACATGGTGAGGTGTTCATAATGCACTCAGCTCAGCCACATTTCACCTTCACTGACTAAACAGCAGATTCCCTAGATTTCATGATGTTTACAATTATAGGGACTAATGCTTCGTGCACGCTCCCAAACCTCTTGGAGGATGGCAGGAGTCCAGCTTCCTTGTTGTCTTACCTTGCACTCTAAGTGTGCCGCTTCGCTGTTGTTGGTACAGCTTCGGGCTGACATTGACGCACTGTAACTCACTGCCATACCAGCAGGCGTTATCGCCACTGGATCGACCTCGCCAACGCGCAATAGAAAATAAACTCCACGTCAAAAACAACCATGAGATCAAGTGGATTATGGGTGTAGCGTCTGTGAGATCCCTCCGTTAAAACTATATGAAATACTGTATTAAGTACATGCATGTGTAACTCACGGCTGCGGTGATTGCATCCTGTGTGTCAGAACACAGCGAAGGTGTTGAGCAACGTCGTTTGAGCAACTCTCTGAGAGTCTTATGTCGCATACATATGATGAAACACCATGAGGAAGCTTTATTGAAGCCCTGAGGACAGAATGAGACGAGGCGGTCTTACATGCAAACTGAAGCAGCATGAGCATGCCATTAACCCCGAAGGCCCTCTGAGCTGATAGATGGCAGAGAGCACGCATGCTTGGTGCTTTTAATGACAACCCTTCCTTTCGGCCATGTGGAGAGAAGGACAGAGAGGGAAACTCCAAACCTCCACTGAGAGACGCCATTCATGCCATGGTTTCATTTGTAAGCAGCAGCATGAGGCGTCAGCCGGCAGCTTCTCTTAGTTACAGCACGGTTAAAGTGCGACTTTACCAGATGCAACGTGAAAGAGATGAATTCAAGAATGCAACAATAATTATAAGACGACAATCACAGTTTTGTGGGACAATAACTGTGGGTTTAGAATGTGTCCTTGGCTCTGCATATCCCGACCTTTGCTCTTAGCAAGGGGGCGGTAATTTAGCCGCTCTCTACTGGGACTACCAGGGTAATTAACACTCATGATCAACATTCTTTCAGCCAGCAGCTCACAGTTTTAGTCCATCCTAAGCAGCATAAAGAGATGAAGGAGAGAGGAGATACACATATAATGGTTTTAGGTTCATGAAATGAGTCTTTTTGGATGGGGTTCATAGATGTTTCTAATAGAGTTTCCACAGATGTATTTCTCAATGGACTGGAAATCTTCCAGTTAGGGAAAAATAAAACTACAACATAGAAAGCACCACGTTTGTTGCCATCAAGGGCTATTCAGCTGGGTATTAACGCTGTACGCATTTGCTCTGTGGCGTTTTTGTACAAGAGAAACCAAAAGCGGCAGGTGTCATGCAGCAGTAATACAGTCTCCTGCGAGGAGGAGGAGGAGGAGGAAGAGGAGACGCAGAGAGTGTCCCTGCGGCGCGTCTGCAGCGTGGCGGCGGCCACCGCCTCTCCGCTCGGAGGGAAATGTCAAAGCTGTCGCTCTGTGTAAACCCTCTGCGTTTGCACCTCGCGGATACACCGAGGTGACTCGCACGCGAGCCCGAACGGCGAGTCGCACATGCACGCATGATCACGCGTGCACGGGCCGCAGATCGCCACGCTCGCTCGGCCGTCACATCAGAGTGGATGTTTGCTGGACCACCTCAATCCTTTGCTCCTCCGCCTGCGCATTGATTCCGCGCAATGCTCCGACTAATGCATTTACCAGCAATACGGAACACCATTTAGACAGCATCGATCAGGGCCCATCTGGGGCCGTGCTAATAGAGCACGTCTGGGACAATCAACCCATATGGACAGGCAGTCTGCTGCTGTAATGTGGGACCACGCCCGCTCTCTGCCCCACTGTTTACGCACCAGTTTGATGTTGTAATTAGCGGTAACACAACTGTTTAACGGATTTGTACCGATCCACAGGATCTGGTGTAATTGTCACTGATGCAACAAAGAGAGCTAGTGACATTACAGCTGGCTTTCTGAGCCACCGGTGCATGTCTTGCTCTTACTTTCACAGCTACTGGTGGGCTCGTGTGTGCACTTTGCTCTCCTCTATTTCAAGAGCACTCTGTGTCTTTGTTCACAAAAGTGTTATACAAAGTTAGTTCCTGCTTCCTCCGGATGCACAGCAGCACTTATCTGTAAACACAATGCGCAAAGAGGACGTGACTGGTGAAACTGGTCTAATGTGTGTACTAAGTATGGGAGCAACTCCAGGATCAACAGCAACTTATTTCATCCAGCACTTCTAATTACCCATCGACATAACTTATTTACATACATAACCTGCTTATTGCTTAAGTTAAGTTTCATCCGCAAGGCGATGAGTGAGTAACCCGAGTGCTTTCACAGCTGCGTTAATTTACAGCCTGAAGTCACTAGAGCTAACACATGGCCCTCAACGCTTAAAACATGGCTGCTCATGCCGCACATGCTTGTCATTGCCATGTGTTGACACAAAGCAGCAGCGGTGGGACAAATGCTGCATACTTGCATCTAACTTGATATGTGTTTATCAACGTCAGCTGAGAGCTGAGATATACAGCCAGCGCTCAACAATGACACAAGGCAATCTAGAGAGCGGTGGTTTGGACAGGAAACCATGATAATGACACAATTAGGCATGTTTTTCCTGTTTAGTCCCCACTGTTTGTATCTCCGAGCGCTATTAAAGCTAATGGTCAGGTGTTAACGTGCGGCACATCCCTGCTCCACAGCAATGCAGAGTGTAGCTCCTGGGTGGGTATAGTTTCCATAGAAATGGAGAGCAGACCCAGTGTTTGTCTCTGCCAGCGAGCGATAGAAAGGTAATTGACTCGGTCGGCTCTGTGGAGAAGCAACCTGCAGATAATATATCGCACAGTCAACAGAGGGACGCTTGGGGAATGAGCTTCACTGAATTTATTTCCCCTCTAACAATGGAGCTAGAGAGTCTGCAGCCATTCTAGTGGCACTGTGACGATGTACTCAGGTATAATGGGTGTTATGTTCACCACATGTCCATTTGATGATCAGCAGTAAACACAAAGTACAGCTGAGTCTCATTGGTGCATTAGGTATTGGGTCATAAACCAAAGTATTGGATACATTTGAATTCTGACCCGAGAGGGCGACATGAATGTTAGAACCAAACTGAATGGTGACCCCCTTCAACAGCTGTTGAGACATTTAACTGAACGTGCGTAGTGGCACGAGATGAAAAGTCAGTGCCAATGTGAACCCCTCTACGTCATTATGAGATGGTCAGAGCAACTGTAGTGTAATAAGCCCGAAGACAAGAGGCTGCAGGAGGCCGACGTGTCCCAAATACAGACGACAGAGCAGAATGTGCTGCGTTCATAATGGATTCCGACACACGCCAACCGGCCAGCGTTAATGACCGGTGCTTTCCAAGGAGAAACGGTCTCGAGCACCCGACCGCCCAAATCCAGGAAGTGACTCAGCAGCAGCTGTTGCCATGGGTTACCAGGCAGTGGACAGTGACTCCACCCCATCTGCTCAAATCCATCCTTCGTCACTTTCTTTCTGGAGGGGGGGGGGGGTAATCCCGTCTGAGGGAGGACCTGCGAGGCTTTGGCTCCCTGCACCAGCCCACTCACCTCCACCCCCCCCCCCCCCCCCCCATGCAGATTAATGCCTCATTAAGAGCAACTGATTTAGCACCAATCCACTTACACTAACATACAAGAGTTGCGGAGTATTTCGTGGCCTGAGATGGATCTCGCCGTGGGCCTGGGAAGAAAATAGCTGAGAAACCTCGATGATGATGATGATGATGAGGAAGCACGCCTACAAGGCACAAGTTGAATGCTGCAACATCTGACATGCTGAAAAATGCCAATTCATACCCCCACGTGATCGCTGTCATAGCTGATAGCTTTAGCATTCACAATGCTACATCCATGCTGAGTACACTCAGAGCCCAGTCGCATCTCAACTGAGTAAAAGTAAGTACCTTTATATGAAGGTATGAATGCAGGATGTCAGCGACGTCATGCTAAGGACATTAAGGCTTTGCGGCCGGTGGCTAATTTAGGACAAAGGGTTGTGTAAATCTCCCGCTGAGGCTGAACTCTGTTCCATAAGCCACCTCTCTTCTCACCAGGTAATAGATGCATGAGCAATGATTGACTCACTTTTCTTCCCCCTTTTCTTAATGTACAAGCCCTTTAAAAACAAAGGTGTGGCTAAGGAACAGTGTTTACTGCTATTAGAGGGTCCTCGGTAGGAAGAGTTTACTTCCTGGATTGCATGACTAGTTTCTCTGCAATAATCACTGGCTTTAAAGTGAGCGTTGTGCCGACAGTGAACCTCTCGGAGAAAAGACCTTCGTGACAGGTGGTCTAACAAGTGTCTGTCGTCACCCTGACTCTCTCCACACACACACATATACACAATTCATCTCCTGTGCTGGTAAATCCCTGCAGGGCTTGAGACATTTAAGCCTTTTAATAGTGCACAGCCTCATAGCTTAAGTAATGCTGAAGGATTGTTTGGCACTTCTAAAAGTGCCAGGATTTGTGAATGCTCGTGGATAAATGCGTGAGGACGCCAGAAGAAGCACTCTGCGGCACAATTCTTTAGTAACAAAGTCTTTTTTATTACAACATTTTCACGTTTTTTTCCATTTCTGGTAATGGTTTGTGGCAGAGTAACATGACTTTTCAGAATTCTGATCTACTGTTGAAAGCAAGCAAATGGAATCAATTGCCGGTGTAATTTTTGTTTCCCCGCTTCCTCATTTGAGACAATTCAGAGACAGATTGCGACACAAGAGCCATCCTGAAGCGCTCTGACAAAAGGGCGTTCAAATCAAAACCGTAAATGAGGTCCATTTGAGCGTCTCCCAGATCTAGATGGAATCCGTTGCATTTTTATCCTCGTGAACATACAAAAGAAAAAAACCAAAAAAAAACCATTGTGACAGACAAACAGTATCACTTTTTTTTGGGGGGCATTTACGTTTTGGCCAGCGTACAAACAAAGTTGTGCATTTTCCGAAAATTAGAAGACGAAGAAACAATAATAACAAAAAAAAGCCAGACGCCTCAGCTTGGGCGCGAAAGCAGCCGCACAGGAAGTTAGGGTGTTGGTGGTGGTGGTGCGTGAGACGCTGACGAGCTTCCTGGGACGCGGGCCACGCCCCGTCACTTTTTTAGAGGCGTGTGTCGACGAAGAGACGCGCGCACCTTCTGCAGCTCCCCTCCTCTGCCTCACACGAATCCTCCTCATCCTCAGAAAGACCCCCGCCCCCAGAGTGAAGGTGGTATATTTGGTTGAGGGGACGAGGCCCGACCGCCCCTGGTTGGAAAAGCGTCACCCGTCCACAGGCTGTGCAGCTTGGTTATTGTTGTTGTTTCATACTTTCGGTTACAAAGTTATACATCTAGAAGAAGTGGCTGAAAACAAGGCAATGCGGGAGGAGGAGGAGGAAGAGGGGGTGTACAGTGCATGACGGGAGGGAGGGGCTTCACGAATTCTCTGAGGCCTTCTCCTGTTCGATGACTGTGGAAGGAGAGAAAGGGAAGGAGATGTGAGATTCCTGGGTTAAAACAACACCTTGTCGGGCTTTATATTAAACACAAGCGTCAGTTCAAAAGCACAGAAGGAGTTTAGAGGAATGTGATGTCACACCCAACACCCCATGCAGGAATTTGAATCTTACCATCTTGTGTAGGCAAGGGATTCTTCTCTTGGGTCTCTGTTTTCTTCAGCTTGGACTTGTCGAAGCTGCTCACTTCTGAAACGTCGGGCTTTGCGTCACTCATTGTTGCAGGTAGTCTGAAACACCAGAACGTAAGCACTTTAACAGAAGCCACATCAACCATTAGAGGGAAATATATTCATGTTACAATGAAACCAGCAGAGCACGAGCTTCACCCTGACTTTTTTTTATTATCAGTATAAGGGCGTTGCCTAAATCTCAGTGTCCAAAAAAAACCCCATTTGTTCACTTTAACCGCATGCGCAACTGCGGACTACTTTTCCCCCCTCTTAATGTGCGTCCGCCTCCTTTTGTTCGCCCCGCGGCTCGACCCAGCGTGATCTGCCTCCCCGCGCGTCCCGTTACCCGACGCACAGCTCGGGAGGAACGCGCCGCTCCAGACAATGAAGCCAGTCCGAAAGCGCTCAGACCGCGACATTTACATAACAACAGGAGTTCCCATGCTGCGATGACCCGAGACAAATATAGGGAGGGGGGGAGGAGGAGGAGAGAGAGAGCCGCATGGCTTGTGTGCATATATTCTTTTAAGATAACTAGAGGGGTTATAAATGATGTATTGTTGCGGTAAAATATTGATATATAAGTGTCCACATGGCAGCTGTGCAACATCCGCAAATGCCCTCGTCACGTAGGCTACTTCTCCCTTCGGGTCGCAATCTGAAGGAACCACCGCCCAGATTGGCTTTTTGCACGCCAGCCTTAAAATACAAATTAAACTCCGTTCATTGAAAATATACAAAAAAAAAATGAAAAAGAATACACAGCAAGGCGCGTTTATGGCCGAATAAAAAACAAAAACAGGTTTTAATAACGACACCATGCAGCTCGAGCACAACAAAGGAAATCGACTGATTATGACAAAGATAAAGCACAAACGCCTGCTTTGTTGTCACATTACACTCTATAATTACCTATTTAAATAGAAAAAAACAAGCTGCATTCCTTTAAGACTAATTATCTTATATCTCGTCCCTGGGTGTGTATTTGGCGCAGCATCTTTTGGGATCACACGACCCCACATTGGACTCTTCTAGCTGCAGGCAATAAAGCTGAAACAATAGAAACGCTTTGTTGGAGGAAGCTTACCGTTAAGTGTTGGCTGATGGCTGGATGGTCTCTTGGTCAGTGCGTTGCAGCAGTAAGTGGCGAGTCTTTGCGCAAGCATCAGATATAGTCAGAAATATGCTAATGACATCTGACATCACCAGCTCGCATCCTCAGTATCCCCCTGCTGGAGAGGCGCGAGCCCTCCATCCTCGTGCTGAAACCAAACACTGAAGAGAGAGAAGAAAAAAAAAAAACCCTGAGAGGAGCCTCGTCTCATCTCCCTCAGGAAAGAAATGTAAATAAACAGATTTATTGGGTTTCATGAAGCTGCACAATCCACCCCCACCGTTCTGTTATGACGCATGCCACTTCAGTTTACCACCACTACGGCTGTTTCACCTCAAATCTACTCTTATTTCAACCGCATTTGCGGTGACAGTGACTCTCTTATTCATATCAACGGCACATTATTTCTCCTTTTTAACTTTCATCTGCCTGCAGCTGCCCTGGCTGTGCATTAGTGGAGAAGGAGCGCCCCCTGGTGGCAGCTGGAGCTTCATCCTCACTTCATGCATCACTCCATTACTGTCTCAGAAGATGACGTTTCTATTGTCTTTTATTATTAGATTAAGTTATGGTGCATCAATATTGAGGCGCTGATTGAGCTACAGACAGTTCATTAGTATTCAGATGCTTTTCTTGTGTAAAAAATACAATAGTTGTGCGATTATTGTTAAGTAGTCGTGAAAATAGGCTTTAAGTGCAGTAATATCCAAAACAGGAATTCATCAGACTTAATAAAAAATAAATAAAAATTGTTTTCCAGAACTTACAGCTCATTACTGTGATTAATCAAAGCTTAAAGGACACTGAAATGAGTTAAACTATCATTTTATTCAACTTACTGCTAATACAACTTACCAGAGAGGGAGAGCTGTGGGATGCTAGAGACTTATAGTGAGGATATCTCGGCATTTTCTTTTTAACAATAAAAAAAACACAATACTAAATGCATGTAATGTCCCTTCAAATGAACTGCTAAGGAAAGCGAAGATGAGCATCTGTAAGCCATTGTCAAAGCTTTATTGTCAAAGAAACAGCTTGAAGTGTTACATATATAAAAAAAAAAAAAAATTAAATCACGCTTTTTCTTTTATTCACCTCGAGGCAAACCGTGATAGCTGCCTCGTTGGAGTTAAGTGACCCATTACAGCCGCGATGACGATTGAAATCTTGACACTTTAACAAGCGTCGGGCTCAATTAGTTTTAATGACCTTTTGGAACATGAGTGAAACACCCACCTACACCTCGTCTCACAACAACACACCTGTCAAGAGTTTGGAAAGTTGTCTCTAAATCTTATCGGGGTGTTTTTTTAGCACAATTAATAGAAGCAGAGGGTTGTCATAGAGATGAGCCACCACTGCGTGACAGCAGCTTTTTGTGGGAGGAGTTACACTGCAGAGGTAAGACGCATCAGCACATTCATGAGGCTCAGTAAATTGAAAAAAATGAAGTGTTTTCTTTTGTACTCCGGTTTGGTCAGATCAACACATTTCCACTTGTGGTGCAGCTTTAAAGTGATGAAGCATGAGCTATTACAATCCATATAGCTAGTGAAGGGTTAGGCTACATTGTTTTAATACTTAAAGCGACACGGAGGGGGAAAGGTGCTTTTTTTAAAACCCATTTTTATAACTTTGTGAGGGAGAAAGGGGCCAACATATTTCTAATCACATGACGTCGTGGAATGCTTCATTTCAAGTGAGTTCAATATGAGGTACAAACACATGGCTACATAGTGGAGCCTTTGGTTAGGGTGAAGGCCAGGCCTCGGCTGATCATGGTACTGAAACATGAGAAAAAATATAATAAACAGGAAAAAATAAAGAGAGATAAATAGAAACTTGGTCTTCAGAAAAGGAAATGATATTTCGCTCTGTGTCCTGGGTGAGAATGTCAAAGACAATGTGAAGGCGGGACTTTTCAGTCATGTGGGTTTGGCCAAGGACCATCAGGTGTTTTGCAAAAGTGGCAGGGGGAGAGAGGGAGAGGAGAGAGGGATGGAGGATGCCCTCTCTCTGTCTTTCTTTACAAGGGTACGTGGCTGAAGAGGTAGGACACAGACTCGCCGTTGTGGGTTCTCCTGATCGCCTCCGCCAGGATCATGGAGATGTCGATGACCTGGAGGAAACAAGTCAAACACGAGTGACATAAAAGCTACTGCGCAAAAAAAAAAAAAAAAAAAAAAAAAAAAAAAAAAACAGCGTCTAAAAAAAGAGAGCGAAACATCGGTTAAGGAGGCCTCAAGGTGTGTTGTATTACACAACAAAGGTGATGGTGCAGCCTCGAAAACAAACACATGGCACGTATTAAAAGGTCAGAAACTGTGTGTGTACCTGTATTTTGGGGCATGCCTTCATCTTCTCTTCCTGTGGGATGGTGTTGGTCACCACCACGGCCTCAAACGGGGCGCTGTTGATGCGAGTGATGGCCGGACCGGAGAAGATGCCGTGCGTGAGGATGGCGTAGACCTTTACCGCGCCGGCATCTATCAGCCTAGAGGGAGAAATTATTCAAATTCATCAATCTGAATTCATTCTGCTTGCATTATAATCCATGCAATTCTACAATAGAAAGGACACCGACTTGTTGGCGGCGTGGCAGATGGTGCCACAGGTGTCGGCCATGTCGTCCACCAGGATGGCCACGCGGTCCTTGACGTCACCCACCAGCACCATGCGGTCCACCTCGTTGGCCTTCTTCCTCTCTTTGTGGATGAGCGCGAAGTCCACGTTGAGACGGTCTGCGATGGACGTCACGCTGGACAGAGAGAGAGACCCATTAGACCTTTAACTGCTCCTCAAACAAAGCAGCTTGTTGACTCTCCATTAGGCCCGGTGGAGGCGATGAGATGGAGCTTCAGGACGTGGGAGACGTGCAAAGCAAACTGTGTGATTCGTACCGTTTTGCTCCGCCGGCATCTGGAGACACGATAATGCAGTTTTTCCATTCGGGGATATTTTCTCGTATCCACTGAAGCACGGCGGGCTCTGCGTAAAGGTTGTCTACTGCGATGTCGAAAAACCCCTGAAAGAAAGACACAACCGTTACTAAAAACCACACGGCACAACTGTATACTGATGTGCACAGTCTCTGTATTACACTGTCAATAGGTTGTCCCTGTCTGTACTGGTTATTACAACAAACGGCATTTTTCTGAGCCAAAAATAGTGTAATATCTACGCTGTACTCTGGGATGAAAGCTTGCAGTAGTTTGTGACACAAACGTTCCCTAACTTAAGGCCTTTCAGGTGTTCTTTGCCCCGTTAGACCCAGAGAGAAGGCGGCGTACTGACCTGGATCTGAGACGCGTGGAGATCCATGGTGATGATGTGGTCGGCCCCGGCTACAGACAACATGTTTGCCACCAGCTTGGCTGATATGGGTGCTCGACTCTGGGACAAGCATCAAGACACAGTCGCTTGAGGTAAGTAAGTAAGAAAAGAAATGTTGGAACTTTTGCTGAGGAAGGCGAGAAACACCCCACCGCGAGCGCCGTCTTACTGAACGAAACAGGTCAGGCTTCGGGGGCCTGTTGAAAAAACACCAGACTACCTGGAGGCAGCGGCTTAGCCGTGCTTATGCGAGTATCTCGGAGAAAACGCTTGAATTTAAAGAATATCACCACACAGCGACAGGAGAATGAAATGTGACGGGGACTTATTCAGGGAATAAACTCCCCGAAAACCTCTCAAATCAACGTATGGATGTGGTGAATCACAGCGTTCATTGAATAACTGTGTGCAGCCGGAGAGGTGCCGACTAGTGCAGCGTTCTCGTTGCTTCATTCGGACCTGGTTTGCTGTTGTGGTTACAACACGAGATAATGATTTACAAGATAAGCAGGTTGTGTGAACCAGTTTCTCAGCCTGCAGGAACATCCGATGTGTCAATCTCTGATTTTCCGAGAAAAGCACGTGGCTCATATTGCGCTGCAGTAACAACGCGTTCATCGAGTATGCTGTGTACGTGCCAGTTTTCTCATTGGCACATCAGCGTAGAAGTATGTAACCTGCAGCGCTACAGTACAAATACGAACATTTGTTTTAAAAGGTGCATTGACAGTGACTTGTTTTTTTTTATGCAATTTAGAATTCATACTAAGTACATAAACCTTTACTTACTACGTTAGCAGATGTACGGACATTTTAAGTGTTTTCTCAGCAATTATAACTTCTATGAGGTCACATTTTATATTATTATTACAGCCTGTACTTATGGGAGGAGTTATATTTGTGGAAAAATTAATAAAAACTCTTATCTGATTACAGTAGAAGTAAATGATAGTGTTGTAAATCATTTGGTAGATGTTAATAAATGCTAAAACAGGGGAGGTTAAAGTAATGTGTGCCCTGTGTGTGAGTCAGTCTACCTTGTCCTTTTTGTCCTGCCGGGCGTAGGGGAAGCAGGGGATGACGGCAGTGACGCGGGACGAGGAGGCGATCTTACAAGCGTTTATCATGATGAGCAGCTCCATCAGGTTGTCGTTGATTTCGCCGCAGCCGCTCTGCACGATGTACACGTCCTCGCCGCGCACGCTCTCCCCGATCTCCACACTGCGTGAACGAAAAAAGAGGGGAAACGTGTCACCTTTAGGGCTCGACTCAAGAGCAAAGACGTGAGCCGGGAAACGGATTCAAATGAAACACCTTCTAATTAAGTGTGTTCAGCCCACGTATACTGTTATGTGCGACAGGATGTTGAGAAACTAATTTGGGCCGACACCCTCTGCTCATCGGAGGACCTTTGGGGTCACTGAAGCAGGCAGCATGTATGTGAAACATTCCTCTGCGGGGGGAGGACCATGTCCCCGGCCTCAGTCATGTGATCACTGGACAGCTACAGTTGTAAAGGGTAACAGTCTATGCAGTCACAAGGCCTGTTTTTTTGAGGCCAGGCCCAACCCCAAAACCTCTTTCCCAGGAATCCACTTCCTCAGCGAGTCACCTGGCAGACCCTGAGAGGAGAGCTGTTGTTAGCGTATCGCTCTCACCTAGTGGTTAGTCTGTGAGAATAATCTTTGTTTTGCACTCTGTGTTGCCCAAACAGCTGTGTTCCCTAGAGACAAATCGGCCGCGCGGATAATCAGAGTTTTCCCTGGATTTTAGAGCTGTGAGAGTCTTAGGAGATTTAAAAAAAGGGTCAAGGCAACTTTACATGCCCAGCGTTTTAAAGCGCTCTTTAGCTTAATGCAAAGGAAAGATTACACAACAACGTATGCGGGTGCATGCTTTTATCCAGAGTGCATTACAATGCAATCAGTGAGCGATGTTCACTAAGCCACAGAAACACACTAATGCAGCGCACGGCTCCCTTTGACTGAATCAAAAGAGACTAAAATGCACTTAGAAAGCCACAAATACATTCAAATGTATGCAAAGGTTAAAGCTGCATGGCTTTAAGCAGTGCTGTGGTGAGTTCAGGTCGACTGAGAGAGCAAACAGGCCAGCCTGTGGCCCAAAGGTCATCCTGCAGAAGGGTTCAGACAAGCTACAACAGCCTCTTCAAGGCCTCCCAGTGACAGTAATGAAAGTAATTTGCCATGCAAAAGTTAAACCGTGGTAGATGCGAGCGTGCAGTTAATAATTTAACTAAATGGTTAGCTCGGGCTGCTTTTGGAAATGAGCACAAATTAAGGGCATGTGATTGAAGCCATCTTCCCTAGCAATGCAGGCAGTAATGAGAGCTACCTACACATATATGTGTATTAACCTGCAGGTTATCCTCTTAGTTTAGAGACAACGTTTAATACCTCCGTTTAGGTGACTGTTCTGGCTGCAGTGAGCCACATGTTTTAGTCCTAGCATCCATCTAGCTAGGAGAAGGCACTAGGGTGTGACGTCACGTTTTGTATACCCGTAACATTCTGTTCCAACTTCAAAAACGAGCATTTTTCTAGCTCAACTGTTACCATTTTAACGGCCAACAAACAGCTACCCCCTTCTCGTGTTAAAATGTTAGCCCACATAGTTGAGACGGGTGAAAGGGGGCTTGGTGGAACAAGAGATATACAACATTTGGCCTCCTCCATAATCACCCATCACACGAGAAACGCACGTACCGTTAGCGTACTTAGCATCGTTCGCACCGAACAAAATACTACGTTACGTAACTCCATACCAACTCTGGTCCTGCCAGTTTTGGGTCATTCTAATGGGCACAAACAGCAGCTACAGTCACTTCAAACCTCCAGTTAAACAGTCACCTATAAGCAAAGATAAGAGGAACTGTCCGGTAAAGGACGCACTGGTGTTAGCCTGCTGTGTTTACATGTGGCTAGCTAGTCACGTGTCAGCCCGCTGAATAGTAAACTATTGTTAGCCTCGAGCTAACGTACCCACATGTGATATCGAGGCTGGGGCGACATGAACAGCTAGCACCCATTTGCAACAAAAAAACAAA